TTTTGATTCTGTTGTTTGTGGCACGAGTTATTTTTGATTGTATTGTTTGTGGCACGAGTTATTTTTGATTCTGTTGTTTGTGGCACGAGTTATTTTTGATTGTGTTGTTTGTGGCACGAGTTATTTTTGATTGTGTTGTTTGTGGCACGAGTTATTTTTGATTGTGTTTGTGGCACGAGTTATTTTTGATTTTGCTCTTTGTTATTCAACTAATTTTGAATTGTGCTAATATTCTGCCTGAGAAATTATGACTTTTCAAATTTCCGTTGTTGATGATTTTAAATCTTACTTTTGTCATTAAATGCTCAAAAGATTAATCTAAGCTTTTTTGTTTTTCATAAGAAGATGGAAAAGATTTGTAGAAGATAAAAAACGTGGATGTGATGTTTTAATAAAAGTATTGATGACTTGACTTCATAAACATTTAGAAAAATTTGAGGTAGTTGGTTCTGAATGTAAAATTATGTTAATTGTAGCAGACAAACTAAGTTTGATGTTCTTTAAGCATATTTATGGTTTCTTGTCTTGTTAGGAAGTGCATTCTGCTGAGAAACATCCCAAAGTGGAATGCATTAAAACAGGAACACCAGTGCGGATGATTGAGAAGCCTTCTCAGGACTGCAAAAAGGACTCTGCACTTTGTAATTCTGCAAGTGTTTCTCGACCACAAGCGATTATTAAACCCTCAACAAATGGACAGTCCTTAACAGACCATAGGACCCACATCAATGTGAATCTTGTAACAAATGTGACTATGCCAACTGAGAACTTAATGATGAAAAGCGACGGGCAACAAGAGCCAAGTATAGCTTTTTGTTCAGTTTCTCAAAGTTTATCTGAAAACAGACAGTTAGCCAATAATTATCCAAGTCACATCAAATGTCATTCCAGCATCCTGTCTAATGAAGAGCACAGGCTAGTCCACAATCATCCAAATTCTTTTCTACGCAGTTCTAGTGGTAATGATGCTTTATTTCAGGACTTTTCTAGTAATGATTCTTCTAGCAAGGATTTCATACAAAAACTTCCCACCATTCAAATGGTTGGCACTTCGGTGGCAGAAAGTAATGTGCAACGAGAACTGTCTACTACCTTTGTTCAGTCTGTTTCCCATAGTACAAGTTCCTCGCTTCCTCCGATAATGAAGTTGGAGGGTTCTGAGGTTGTAGGGTCTGTTTCAACTTTATCTGAACCAAAATATCACAGTAATGGGACAAGCGTGTGTAGCCAGGTAAATAAGGACCTTAACATCATGTATAAAAATGATAACAGTCTGGACTCAAAAAGCCAAAGTAGTCAAGAAACTACTCATGAGAAATTTAAAAGCTCCAAACGAAGAAGTCCACGCATTGAGAAAATGTCCAATAGTTTTAGATCTGGAACACTAACTAATTCTGTAAAAGATGGTGTCAAGATAACTGCTGGGACACTAACTAATTCTGTAAAAGATGGTGTCAAGATAACTTCTGGAACACTAACTAATTCTATAAAAGATGGTGTCAAGATAACTTCTGGGACACTTTTAGAAAGAACTTCCAAACGTAAACATCATGAAAAACACAAACACAAACGTTCAGGAAAAGAGAAGTCCACTGATTATATAAGCAGCCCGAGCCAACCAGTTAGTCTAAAAATAACCATTAACCGAGTTCTTTCACTCCCACGTGAATCGACTCTCAGAGTCTTGATCCTTTATGTTTGTCAGTATTGGGTGTATGACAGTCAGATTTCAGCACTGTCAGAGTCTTGATCCTTCTTGTCTGTCAGTACCAAACGTGTGGCGGTCAGACTTCGACAATTTTGTAGGTAGCAAATGAGTCAATTCCTTTGGGCTGAGCTCCCGTTTGCGATTATCCTGAGAATCCATTTTGGGGTAGTTTTAGTGTAAGAATTTCCACTGATCCTATCTTTAGAAATTACAATTTCAAACTAGACCCAGGAGAGGAGTTTGTTGGAGTGACTGATGGCTTGTCATTAGAATAAAGCTTGGATTTGGGTATTTTGATTTTCAAGCTTTCTGCTATTGGACTACCAGTTTCACTCCCAGAACCAGAGAGATGGTTAGACTCTTGATCACGGTTTAACCTTATCTTCTCTTTTGGCCCGTGGTGACAGAAAACCAGAAATAGAGTGGATTTTATATTGTCAAATGAAGTGTCTCAGGGAATATTCCTCTAGTTTTGATCTGTCATCATTAGAGGAAACAATTATGATTTCCAGTAATAGTCCCACTTTCTAGTTTTGTTTTCTTTGCTGGAGGTCCACTCCTCTTAGATTGTGGCATTTACCTTGCATTGAACAAACTCGTAAACAATTAAACATGCTCAACACCAAGATTACTTTCATTGTGACTCTTAGCTTGTGACATCTTGGTGTCAGTGGTCACGTTTTATTTATATGGAAATTTGACCAATTAATTATTGCAGTGATCTTGTGAAGCATCTTGTACATAAGTTAAATTATTTCAGCACCAGTCCAAGATGGTGTATGTTTAAAATTGTGTGATATACTTTATCAAAGAAATAATTCAGGAGCTTCTGAAAATATTTAGAAGAAAGCTTACTGGTATACTTGGTAAAAAATTATTCGGGAGCTTCTGAAAAACTCGAAACTTACTGATATAGTTTGTCAAAAATAATTCAGGAGCTTCTAAAATAATTTTAAAGAAAGTGTACTGATAGTTTGTTAAAGAAATAATTCTGGAGCTTATGAAAAGAAGTTTGATGAAAGATCATTGATATAGTTTGTTCATAAAGTAATTCAGGAGATTCTGAAAAAAAAGGTCTGTAGAAAACGTAATCATATGGTTGGATGAAATATAATTCGGGAGCTTTTGAAAGTAATTTTTAAAAAAGCTTACTTTTGCACAAAATGTTAATTTTTGAGAGACTTGGAAGAAACTTTTGAAGTAATAGTGGTGACAAATATTTAATAAAAATATTGTATAATATTTTTTGTGAGTATGTTTTATTTAAAATCTGTAATACTAGAGTTGTATTTGAAACCTTCGTGATGCTAAGCTCACATGTAAAAAAATCTTTACAAATATGAAGAATTAAAGGTTAAGTCAGCTTTTTTTTTGTTTATATTTTGTGAGTTAATAAAAGAGCAGATATTGAAATTATGTTGAGATGCTGTTATTATGTGTTTATATGATTCAACCATACCAGAGTTCTGGTATACAGTGCCACGTTTAAATGTATCTATTAATAAAATTATTAAACTTCATGAATGAACTGATTATGTCCAATTTCAGAATAATTAAACGTCATGATGAGATACTGTTAAATATATTAGTTAGAGACTGAGTTATATAATTCTGGCTGAGACATAAATGGATGAATTGATTGAGTTCCGGTAGAAGTACCATAAAACAGGAATGATAGTTTATAAGTGTTGTCTTTCCACTCAATGCCTGAGTGCCCAACATCTGTGACACGTATGAACACTCACTAATTGTAGAATTGAAGGTTCAGTACTCACCCTGTATGAATGTGATTTACACATCGCCATATTAGCCCCCCCAGTAGCTCAGTGGCTTTTAACTGTGTTTCGATACCCCTGGTGGATACAGCACAGTTAGCTTTTGTGCAACAACAAACAAACCACAGTATCTTACACACACTTTCCATATGTATTTAATAACTATTGGATGATTTTAGAGCTTTCAACTCGGTGTTCATTTAAATATTTGAGATAATCCGTTATGCCATCAGCCAAGTCAGACACAAACATTTTTGTCTGTTAAATATTGTATACACGAAACCTGAGTACCTACCATAGTTATAGATAACCTTGTAATGTGCGGGTTGGGGTGGTCATAGCCCTTATATTGTAGCCTACTAAATGTCAAAACCTTAAATTTTTAAACGTGTGGATTACCTTCATTGTAAAACTTCTGGTTTAAAAGCAGTCGAAACTAAGGAGAACCTTGTGATAAGGCAGTTAGTGAACTGATACAGTATATAGAGTAGAAAAGAACCTGGTTAATCCAGAGACGACACTGACCAAACGAGACGTAATTCCATTACTATACGAGTTAAACCTAATCATTGTTTACCACAGAAATATTTTATAGTTTACCAATAATAAGTATCGTGTTGTACGTGAGATCGAAGAAGAGGGTGGGACACTCCTATTGGCTTGTTCATGAATTGAAAATATTCTAAGTGTTTGAAGTCAAAATAAAGAATTTTACACCTCACATTATATTCCCAGAACAATAAAATTGGAAATTTTGTATGGAACGTGTGCACTAGCAATATTTCTTAATGTAAACCAACAAAGCACGTGATACAAGGTTGTAGGGTCTGTTTTAACTTTATCTGAACTAAAATATCACAGTAATGGGACAAGCGTGTGTAGCCAGGTAAATATTGACCTTAACATCATGTATAAAAATCATAACAGTCTGGACTCAAAATGCCAAAGTAGTCAAGAAACTACTCATGAGAAATTTAAAAGCTCCAAACGAAGAAGTCCACGCATTGAGAAAATGTCCAATAGTTTTAGATCTGGAACACTAACTAATTCTGTAAAAGATGGTGTCAAGATAACTTCTGGAACACTAACTAATTCTGTAAAAGATGGTGTCAAGATAACTGCTGGAACACTAACTAATTCTGTAAAAGATGGTGTCAAGATAACTG